ACCATCAAACAAATGAACACAACAATCCAATTCAAAATTCAGAATAAATAACCCAACTGAACCAATTAAAAAAGATGAATCTTCACCATTAATCAATAAAAAGTGTGATGAATCTGCAACAAAATTCAGTGAAACAAAAAAATCCAAAACTTACAGGACATGAGATAAGACAACCCAACCACGCATATGATCAGATAAACAATCCGCTTCTTGGCTTCCTTAGCCAAGTCCCGAATCGTCACAGCCGACTTCTGGGTGCTCATTTCGGACCCCAAGATTCAATCTTTCACACCACAAAACTCATCAAACATACATAATAATCAATCCCTATAACCCTCAATTCTCTTCCAATCAATGTTCCTCCCTATAATCCTCAACTCTATAACCCATATAAAAAATAATTCAAAATGAAACACTAAAATTCTGAAACCCATTTCCCCAAAAGAACATATCAAACCCATCACCAAACTCAAGCAAGAACCAAAAATACTGTAACCGAAATCCAAGAGGAGAGAAACCCACAAAAATATCATGGATTACAAATTTGTAAGTTGTAGTTTACCTCTAAATGGTTGCAATGTCGTCGCAAGAGGAGAGAGGCGAAACAGGAGTGCGAGAGAAGAAAGTCGATGGTCGGTGGTCGGTGGTCGAGAGGAGCGATGACAGCAAGAGGTGAGGAGAGGTGGTCGGTGGTCCGTAGTTGGTGAGTGGAGATGTCGTGAAAAGCCAAGTAGGGCACAAACAGAGCTGAATGGACCGCCAGAGTAGCGTCGCGCCAGAATCTATGGCACCCCGAGGAAGTAGATGAGTGGAGAGAGAGGCTGGACCATCATGGCCGTCGATTTTTGCTGGAAAACTCGAAGTTAGAGATAGAGAGTGAGCGATCTCGAATGTGAGTTATTCGAGATTTCTCATCTGAAGAGAAGAGAAGATCGGATTGGATTGGATCGGATTGAATTCAAAGCACCACCGCTGGAACCGTAATTTTTAGGTGGAGATTGGGGTGAAAACCCTAGAGAGAGTTGGAAGAAAAACCCCTGAAAACACCACCACTAGAACCCTAATTTTTAGGTGGAGATTGGTGTGAAAACCCTAGAGAGAGTTGGAAGAAAAACCCGAGTCTTATGAATGGAGACCATAATCGGAGCTTGGTGGTCGGTTAATCACAATTAGGCAGTGGTTGGAGAGTTTGATGAGCATGGGTCTCTTTGTAGGGAGTGGATGGATGTGTTTTGAAATTTGAAATTTGGAAAAATGAAGTGCAACAGATGAGGATGGGTGGTTGTAAAGTTTGTGACTTTTGGGCGGGAAGTTCTAGAGTGAGTGAGAGGGTTTTCATCTCTACCATCCATCTTCAAGCATAAATGAATCATAACCGTTAAAATGTCCTAGTAGGACAATTGTCTCTAGGATAAATTCAAAAACCCTCTTCCCTTATTATATAGATATATAATTTACACATAAAAATTTAAAATTTCAATAGGTTAAACTATTAGAATAGAACTAGTGTGATCCACGGACTGAACTGTCCAGTCCATTTTTTTCCCGTAAATCTAGGATTTCAAATTGATCCACAAATAGAAAATCTAGAAAAAATTACAATTTTCTTTTTAAGCATTTGATTCTTATAACAAAATAAATTATGAATTTTTAATTTTATTAATTTGGATTCTAAATTTTGTATTTATTCATAATCTAAATTATTTTTCTATTTTGTTAAATAAAATTAATGAAAAAAATAAAATTTTAATCATTAAAATCAACAAAAAAGAATATTTTAAATATTTTATGTACATTTGCATTTAGTTTAATGACTAAAATAATATTTTTTAGTCAATTTTACGTAATGAAAATATATCAATAGTTTAAATTAAAAATAAAATAAAAAATTTAAATTTAAATTAATAAAATTAAAAATTCAAGATTTATCTTACTACCGGGGTAATCTCTTATATTGGTAATTTTTTCTAAAATCTATTGTATATTTTTTGGCTCTTTCTGGAAACTTGCTGAATTCTGATGTGGATTGCGTGGATTTTCTCAAGAACAATGATTCATAACTCTAAATTTGAAACTTTAACAATGGCTTTAATGATGTGGCATGAAACAAAAAACAAAAAAGAAACATACATCAAATTATTCATGAGTGGAGTTCATTGCCACATAAATAGAGCTCTCATTAGAGCTCTACTTTTAGTGCTCTTAAACATTTTTGTTTGACTGACTAACAAAGTGACAAATAGATTGTTGCCAAATCTTCTTTTGTCTGTATTCGTTAATTATTTGCTGAATAAAAGATCTAATTTTGAAGTTTTAAAGAGAGCTCTAGTGATATGACAAATAGTGGGGTTCACATGAGATGCGATGTGTGTGCCTATGTGTGTGTGTTTTTTTTTTTTTTTTCTCTTGCCAAATCATTAAAATTTTATTTAGAACTCCAAAATTAAAATTTTCTATTATTGTGGGTGTTGAAGGACGTATGGATGACGTCATAGTATAATATCAAAACATTTTTTTGACTTCTATATTCCCTTTATTATTATATTAATAGAATAAAGAAGAAGATATTGTTAGACAATCTTCACTGTATTTAAATAAATAAATTATGTTTGTATACTAAATTACAAACAAAATACAAAAGAAAAATAAGAAAGGAGAGAGAACGTTCGATTACAAAAATCAAACTAGAATAATAAAATAAAATAAATAAAAACAGATTTTTATTTTGTTATAAAAACAAAATCAAAATTTGATTTAAATAAATAAAAAATAGAAAATAAATAACCAACTTACTTGATTAATATCTTGAATAATATTCTAATCAAGTCCAGTGTTTGACACTGTGTCCTTAAGACAAATTCGTCCTCTCCACGGTGCTTTCAGAATATGGACGTCTATCTCCCAGGATAAAATGATCCATGAAAAAAAAAAAAAGTAAAAAGTAAAAAATTTTCATTTTTATGCTTGTCAATTTTATCTGTAAATTAAAGTGCGTCATCAACTTTAAAAATGCAGAGAAAGTAGACAATATGTTTTTTTTTTTTGGGGAACGTGATGCGAAACAGGGTCGAAGAAATGACAGTATGCATGTCTGAGAAATTTAAAATTTCTCATACACGCAAGGGGCAAATATAAGAGGAGCTAATTTGAGTCCGCTAAATTAATTAGGCCCAATAGCTCAAGATTGGTGGGCCTGTATTTATCGCCATCAAATAGGCCGAATCGCTCTAAGCCTTGAAAGAGTTCGGATCCACGAACTTAGAGACTTACTCGGGCTCGGACTCGAAAGGGTTCGGATCCACGAACCTAGAGATCCGAAGCACTTGACTTCGAACGGATTCAAACGCAA